GGGTTGAGTTGGACCTCTATGTTCGGCTGCTTCAGCTAGCGCAGGATGATTTCTAATGAATGGGGTCTCCCGTTATACTAAAACTCTACAGGCTCTTTTCTGACAACGAGCGGCGGGCGACCTTCCCAGGACCTTTGTGCATTAAATCCAAATTAGGGCTCACAGCCATTCTTCATAAAAATTTCCAAACACGATAGAACTTCGCTAATTTGCCTCCATTTTGTCATGGAAGCAACTTATAGCGAATTCAATAGCGTGTTAGTTAGGGCTTTTCATCTACCCGTTTTCCATTTTCTCGCCTTTCTCATCTTAGGCTGGTGTCAGAGTCCGCGATCCGTCGCAGGTTTCGCTGATTTTCGCGATTTGCGCGAAACCTGCGATGGATCACAGGAGTTGGAAGTGCCCGATGAATACTGCGAGGTGTTGTTTAATCCTGCTGCGAATTCTGCTTGACAGTGAAAGATTGAAAGACGACTGTTCGTGATTCTACTTGTTTCATGTTCAATGTCTATCAGTTCATTGAAATGCTCATGATTCGTTCCTATTCTATCCTATAATTCTAGATTCTATAATATCAAACAAGTGGAATCATGAGGGCACTCGTCATTCAGCCATCACTTTGTGAAAATACGATCAAATGAGTTGTGCAATGAAATCGGTAGTTGTTTCTGCAACAAAGTAACGTATTCATAGGACTATGTTTCCGGTTCTGTATCTTCGAAATAAGAATCCGTCGATGTGTATTCTTGAATGATGTGAGGATTTTAACCTATTGCAGGCATATTTACTGGTGATTGATTGATCTGGATTCTCAGAGGAAGCATGGCTGCTGTCAACGGTACTGCTGGAGAGAGTATGGACAACAATGGGAACATTAGTGACGACGAGGCAGAGGACGTTGAAAACACTTTGGAGAAACAGTCTAGCGAGGTACAGTTATCGCTCTTTCGTATCAATGCATTTTCGTTATTTTAGAAGCGTATATTATGGGTCAGAAAGCCTCGATCTACCTTTTTAATCAATGCCCTGCCTTCAAATTTTCCTAACGACGGGGATCATAAAAAATCAGAAGTCAAATTGAGTTGAGTTGCTGTCGGTCATTGGGTGTGATCACTCTTTTTTTCGATCTTTCACGATAAAGTGTAGAACGTCTCGTAATGTAGAACATGGTGGGCTCCAGGCTGAAATTTTTGAGAGCTCGCTCGCTTCTGATCATCCCGCGAATCGCTCTGCCCAGTAAGAGCTCTCATACTTTGCTCTCTCATTGAAAGTGCGGAATGCCTGGAAAAACGCGAAAGATGTGAAAAGCGCCATTTAATTTTAGAACACCCCCTTAAGTACTATACACTAAATCCCACAGGTGAGGGAAATTTTCCCAAAGTATAAATTCTAGGAGAGGGAAATAAAGTGAACCAAGTGTGACTTAACTATGGCTGCGAAGCTCACAAGGAGGTCTTTTTAGGGCGAGGCGCGCTATTTCAAAAGGGCTTCCTGCATATTGCAAAAACCCTTGTAGAGAGCACAAAACCATGTTTCATTTTCGCTGAAAGGTTTTAGCAGTACAAAAAATTAGTGCAAGCTATTGTCAATGGTTCGATCCTACGTGGTGACTAATTTGCATTTGGGTATTCGAGTACGAGTTGGTGCCGAAAGGTGCTAAATGCCAAAATTATATATCATAGTCATGGTTAGGACCATAGCGAAGCGCAAAATCTAGCAGCCGCGGAGGGATTGAACCATTAAGATTAGCATTCACCACTTTTTTGGTACTACTAAAACCGTTCAGCGAAAACGAAACATGGTTTTGTGGTCCATACATGTGTCCTACAATATGCAGGGAACCATTTCGAGGAAGCGCGGCTTGCCGTAAGGCTCCCCTTGTCAGAGCGTGGGTTCATTAGTCTTGAGTTCCACAGCATCTTATTGTGCCTATATATTTTTTAGTCCATTCTATTCTTCAGTGCTTGGTCCTGAACGAGAAGATGCTTGCTTGCTTGCCATAGTTTCACAAGAATGCTGAGTTGTGGGCAAAACTCGCTCTCAGGACGCTTATGTAGTCGGTCGTCCGGTCGTTACCATCGCACAGCTTATACGATACGCATTGATCGCTGGACGTGTCGGCCGATCGAAGAATCGATACGTATCTATACGATCGTTACGATTGGGGGACCGACTGTGAAAGCGCCCTCAGAAGCGGGATCGATCCGCCTGGGACGAAGAGTTTTGCCCACAACCCAGCATTGTTGTGAGGCTTTCGCTACGCGAACTACGCGTCAGACCAGCTATCAACAAACAAAACAAGTCAAAATTGATCGCTTCTCATAATTTTGAGCAGGTCGTGCTGTCTGGCACTCCTCATTTTGATGAACCCATTAATTTTCGCAGCATTTTTGTTTCATCTTTCATATCGAATCTATTGGAGAACTTCACAGACGTGAATTTGATGAGAACAGAGCTTCCTCAACCTTCGTTTTGAAACCCAGTAAACAATATCCTGCCTAGCTACCGAGTTTTTCCACTTTCGGTCCTTTTATTCATGTAATTTTTAGTGTTGCAGGAAGTCTCACGCGACTGAGGACACCGGAACTGAAAATGAAGGCATGCAAGCCGGGAAATAGCGAAGAGACAGGATGAAGTGAACGGAGTGGCGAATATGAACTCGACAAGGAGGAACCGCCTTCTCCATCTGCGCATGAGTGGAAAATTATCCTGATGAAGGCTGAGTTTGCTGAAGTGAGTTGAACCAGCTGTTTGTTTTTATGTTTTTATATTTGCGGGGTCATATTGTTATCGGGTATTTGGAAAGCCAACACAAAATTATAAACAGTGAAAGGGATCGGCGGTTCGGTTTCCCTAGTACTTTCTCGCCAGCTATTCTGAATAGCTTGTACTGTTCACACTGCCACGCGGGACTTTTTCCACTGCTCCTAACACTGTACTGATGCACAGCTTTATGACAAATCAATAATCGACCTACAATTTCCACTTGTGAGGCGAAGGAGCACTTGTGGTTTTTCTCTTTCTAGGCGAACTTGTAAGCACTTGTGGCTGGAGCAGAAACTGCCAGGCTCCTTCTCCTCACCTCCTTTTATACTGTATGGCGAGCATATCTTTTAAGAATCTAACAACATAATCGGCACCCACGAGCTAGAATTTCCACAACATCTCAAAGAAGTTACATGAAACGATGAGTCATAAGAAAAAATGTAATGCACATCATATTTTTAAATCAATCAAAAACAACAGATTCAATAATCCAAATATATCACTTGAAGTATCGTCGACTTGTCGACACTCCGCCCGGCTTGAATCGTTCTTCTGATCGTAGACGTTCGATCTCCTCTTCCAGCCGCTTTATTCGTTTTCTTACTTCGTTTTTTAGATCCGGTACTTCACACAGTGCGCGATGATGTCTCTTTTTCGGAATCAAATCCTCGACGATCGTCCCTCTAATCCTCTCGCAGTAGTAGCAGTCTCTCGGTGGAAATCTGCACTTGTCTTTTGGGCAGTTGCCGAAGCAGCACTTGCACACCTTCTTTCTATCGACGATTGTGTTTCGATCGTGTCCATCTTGTACCTGCGGGCAAGAGTCTGAGAAGTGACGGTCTACAGCGCCGCAAAAGGTACAGGTGTTGCTGACTTTCCTATCTCCAAAGTCTCTATAGGGAAACGTCTGAAGTACTTGTTCCAACTCGAGGGCTTGTTGGCAGAGTTGAATAATTCGCCCCGAAGAGTCTTCACGTTCTTCTTCTTCTTGTTCCGTATCCGTCATCTCTTCGTCCTCTTGTACTTCTTGAACCATTTTCTCGAAGTAATCTTCATCAGTTTCCATCTCAATGGGCACTTGTTCCAATGCAGCGCCTCCTTTTGCTCCATCTGAGGCATCAACTGTCACTTGCACTCGACTTGGACCAGGTTTTTCCGTCTCTTGCTGCTCCTTCGTCTGGATGATTCCTTTGAGACGAGCTATTTCAGCCTCCTGTGATTTTACCCTTTCTTTCAGACCTTCTGATCTGCTCCGTAGTTGATTGGGCCTCCAGAGCCATTTCTTCCCGGAGAATATGAAGGAGCTGTTTTTTCTGCAACTCCGGACGACGCTCTTGATCCGAATCGTTCAGCCTCCTTTCAGCTTTTCTCTTCTCTTTGCAGAGCTCGTCGACGATTTTTTCGAAGTCGCTCGTTTTTCTGACCACAAACTCGAGCACTTTGTCCGCTTCCACGTCGAACTTGTGCTTCTTGCGTAACCAATCTCGCCGAAGACTGGGATTGACCTTTCCATTCTGAACTAGTGCTTCGAATAATCGGTCCGTGAGAACAAAACGAGTCGCTAGCTTCTTGATCTGCTCCACTGCTTGTTCCGACTTTCGAAGCGGCTCGGTAATTAGGAGGACTTGTTCTCCTGGTCCCCCCAAAACGAAATTTTCCTTGCTTCTGATATGCTCCCAGCATCTTTCCCACAGTTCGTTTTCCTGGGTTGTTTCACACGGCTGGGTAAGCGTGTTTAATTTGGTGTTCTTCCATGCTCCAGTAATCTTCGTCTTGTTTTTGGCCGTCCTGAAGCTGGCCGGTTAAGAGGTGGCCAAGCCTGGTCGGTAAAAGGTGTAGCCCCGAAGGCAATTCCAAATGAGGTTGATCGTTATGGATCAAAGGCCACAGTTGGTCGCAACCGAGTAATATAAGTGGTTTTGTAACGGATTTCTGATCGAGGCGAAGTATAGGAAGGCTTAGCGCGTGAACGAAATTGATGTCTTCTTCTCTTATTGGAGGAGCAGCGAATGAACTCGTTAAAACATCGTACGTAAGTAGGTTCAAAGAGAGAGGTTTACCTTCGATGTCCCAGACGTTGAGCTTCACTCGACGGCACACTTTTTCTCGGACTTCTTTGGTGCCGAAAGTGCGTATCTTCAGCCTTACTTGTGCCATCGTAGGAAGCTGAAGTTCTTCGGCCAACGAGGCATCTATGAACGAGACTTGTGCTCCTGTGTCCAACAGTACCGTAATCCTTCTCATGACCTTAGTGCTCGGGTCAAGAACTGTTGCTTGTCCCGTGGGCAAAAAGGTGTTATGTGCCTGAACGGAGATTTTTTCTGAATGTAATTCCAGGATGGTTGTTTCTTCTTCCGACGTACCCTCTTGGCCTATGTTGTTGACCTTCACTGTGCCTTTATCAGCCTTGTGACCTTGTCCTTGCCCTTACCGTACCTCGTCCATTCTGATTACCATCCTTCTTAACTTCTGTCCCTACTTGTTGCCTTTGCTCAAACTGGAAGCAGCAGGAGGTGTGATGCGGCTTCTTGCACTTGAAACACAAGGAGGTTTCCTACATAGAGCCGTCGCATGACGAGGTGAAGCACAAATCAGGCAAAGCTTCCTTTCCCGAAGATAGTTAGATCTCTCTTGTGGAGATTTGTACTTGTCGCATTCTCCTGATTTGTGATTTTTGCCACAATACATGCAAGTATTAAGAGGCTTGTGAAATGGTTTCTTCTGATACTCATTCCGTTCCTGAGTTCTCGGTGACGATGGTCGTCCGACGTAGATGGAGATCATCTCTTCACTTGAAATGATATCCTCTAGATATCTCAAAAGCGTTTCCATAGTGAAGTCGCAATTTTCTGCTTGTTTTTTCATCAGCACCTTTCGTTGTATGTGCTGTGGAAACTTGCCCAGAATCTTTTTCAGCAGCCATTGACTATTCACCTCTTCGTTCTTTCTTTTCAGTTGTTCCACTACGGCTTGTATCTGTTCAAAGAGTGTCCGTTGATCTCGTATGGCAGGCGATCGCAAAGAGCAGCTTTCGAGCTTGTCGATCAGTCGAAAAACGAGTTCCTCTGCGTTGCCATACTTGTTCCTCAAAAATTCTATCGCATTCGGATAGTTTTCTGCCGTCACTTGAAATTTCTGCACCAATTCGAGCGCTTCTCCCTTGAGAGCATTCAAAAGGTAATTGAATTTGAAGAGAGCGGGCATGTCTTGTGAATGTACATTCGCATTGAAAAGTTCCCAAAAGTTATCCCATTCCCAGATATTTCCCTTGAAAAAGGGGATTGGTATCGTGGGGAGCTCTACCTTTTGTGGTGTGGAGGGAACTTGTAGCACTGGAGTCGGGGGTGTTAGCCCTGACTCACCCTTGAAGGACTTGAAAGCTCTTAGGCGAGCTTGGAGCAGGACGATATAGTCAAAGGCTATGACCAGTGACTTTTCCGCCTTGGAGGTGTATTCCTCAAAGTCTTTCGTTTCTTTTTCTGGCGGGTTCTCTAGTGAACTGAGGGTTTCCGCATACTCCTGTAACAGTTCTCGGATCTTACCACCGGCCTCCTCTAAAGCCCCTATCGCTTCCTCTAGCCTTTGCATGCTTTCTCTCATGAATGTGTTCCGATTGTCGCCATCTGCTGCGGCAACATTGAGTGCTTCAATTTTTTCTGACTTAAAGCGAGCAACCGCGGTCTCCAACCTATTGGAGTACATAGTAAGTAAACGCTTGGGGGTTGTAAGTTGAAACGCCATAGTAGGGGTTAGATATCCGCGTATGGAACCGACACACTTGTACGGATTGTCAGAAAAAAAGCTTATGAAAGCGCACTTGTATGGCTTAAGAGAATAGAAACGATGCACTTGGGACTATTAGAGAACTTGAGTGCACTTGTTCACCTAGGAAAATGCTTCGCACTTGTTCACCTAGGAAAATGCTTCGCACTTGTTCACCTAGGAAGATTTTCAACTGACCTGGTTTCGTCTACTGCTCGATGCACCATGATGCGGGGTGGTCTCAGTGGTAGAATGCTCGCCTGCACAGCGGCGCGGCCGGGTTCGCATTCCGGCGATGCCCACCATGAAAGGGATCGGCGGTTCGGTTTCCCTAGTACTTGGTCGCCAGCTATTCTGAATAGCTTGTCTTGTTCACACTGCCACGCGGGACTTTTTCCACTGCTCCTAACACTGTACTGATGCACAGCTTTATGACAAATCAATAATCGACCTACAATTTCCACTTGTGAGGCGAAGGAGCACTTGTGGTTTCTCTCTTTCTAGGCGAACTTGTAAGCACTTGTGGCTGGAGCAGAAACTGCCAGGCTCCTTCTCCTCACCTCCTTTTATACTGTATGGCGAGCATATCTTTTAAGAATCTAACAACATAATCGGCACCCACGAGCTAGAATTTCCACAACATCTCAAAGAAGTTACATGAAACGATGAGTCATAAGAAAAAATGTAATGCACATCATATTTTTAAATCAATCAAAAACAACAGATTCAATAATCCAAATATATCACTTGAAGTATCGTCGACTTGTCGACACAGTCATTTCATTCCATTATTCGAGAATGCATCTTTTTATTTTTCATGCCGTAGTGGAAAAAATGACTAACAGCATTATCTGACTGTTATATAGTTCAAGTGTTCTTCTCAGTTTTTGAATTCAGTTGATTAATTTCCGCTTGATTACACAATTTGTAGGAGTGTTATAGGATCTTTGTGAGCAAATACGTAAAATGAAGCCATATGAGAGGTGTCGACTTACTGGCAGAATTGTAACCACCAAATCATTTAAAGATCTCATTCAGGTTTGTGAAACATTTGCACGGGGTACTTTCCATATTCCATCGGATGTATCTCATATGTAACACCCTTTTTTCAGGGTTTCTGCTTTTTCCTTGACTGTGGCACTAAGATCGCTACTAAAGTTATGAGGAATCTGACTCGTAAAGTTTTCGCATGTTGTGATCTGCTCTTCGAAATTTGTCGTATTCTACCGGATCAGTTGCTGGTAAGATATGTAATCTTCTCGGTTTCGAAAAGATATAACTTTTTGATAGTTTTCTTCCGATTCCATCTACCTCCCACTTAAATGAAAGTTTTTCCCGGAGTAGTATTCTTGTTATGTGTTGTTGAATGTGACAAGAAGCTCAGAACAGATTTCTATTCATGGACAGTTTGAGGCATGCCCGAGCACTGTGGAGTGTACTACGGCCATGGGGTTCTTCATTACTCGGGCATGTTTCGGACAAGGTTCATGACCATGTCACGGTATCCGCTTCGAGATGACATGGATAATATACCTTCTGCATTTTCTTCACAACATTTTTTTTTGCTTGCGCAACCAAATGTGGTGCCATTTCATGATGTCATTTCCACCTTTCTTGTGAAAATAGGTTTTGTTAGCAGGCTGTGTTGACGCTATTTCATCGCATTTCGAATGCGTTCGCTAGTTCGTCGCATTCGGATTGCGTTTCATTTCAAAACTTTATGCAGATCTGGTTGACCTTTTCTTTTTTGTTCATCCATTCCCACGACCTCTTTACTTATTTGCTCACCATTAGTGGATGCGGATGACATATTTCATTTTATTCCAGCACTTCCGAACTGATTCTCTCTCTACATGGTTCAACGTTTTTCATTTCCTTAAATTCGTTCCCGATCCACAAACATCGGTCACGCCACGGATGTTCAACGTAACAAGTCAGTCTTTTGTCCTGCGATTTCTTGGAATATCTACAATTGACTTTTTGGTTTCTAAACTTTACTTCATATCAAGTGTTTAGACCATCCTTTAAAAAGACATAGGAAGAAGAAACTAGTCAAAATTTTCCAGGACGCTTGGATCGGTTTAATGATGTGTTCCGTGAGTTATCCGTCAGCATTATGCGTTTCTCTTTTACTCTTCTTTGTATATAAAGTTCATGTTTTTTTTTGCAGGTCCCTCCTAAAGTCCTTATCATCATGATACCGTATATAACAGATAATGTTCTAGACAAGCTTGATGAACCTCACAAAACAGCGGATTTCTTCTTCAAGGTGATCATGTCGTCAAAATTATTTGGGTAGCGATAGTTAGCTTGCTAATTGTTTCCTTGCAGGCGTTCGATAAAGGAGATTTGTTTGCGATCCTTTCCTTGGCGGCCATTTTCAAACTTATTGTATCTCATAACTTGTGAGTTCAACTTTATTGGATGACTGGCTTCAAATTGGCCATTTCGTTTTTTCAGTGAATATCCTAACTTCTATGATCATGTGTATTCTCTTACGAAGCCTTCAGTTTTGTATTTGGATCAAAAAGAAAAGTTTATAACACTTCTTGATAAATTCCTTTCGTCCACGTAAGTTTATTTATGCGTGCTTAAGTATTATTGCCTCCCATTTCAGAGCTTTGTGTCTTGCTCAGCTTTTGAATGATAATTGCTCCTTTCTTACGTGTAAGAGGACTTTTTTTTAATAATTACCAGTAGACATGATGCGCCAAGCGCTCGCGCCTGAATCAGTGAATATGCGCTTGGATCAAATGTTCACTGATTTCTACATTATTTGCTACATGCGCAACATTATTGGCATTGCTTTGATCGAATATATTCAAGGCACATTCCTAACTATGTTGTTGCTGGATTTGCGAAACGTCTCTCACGTATGCTTCTTCTTGCTCCATTGGATGCTCAAGAACCAGTTCTTGGATTAATACGAAATCTACTAACTCGCCACCCTATTGTTTCCACGCTTATTCATCGTGAACTGCCAGGTATTCTTAAGCGGTTTATCTCGCCATGTATATTGGCATTCATTTTGATCGGACCTATCCTTAAATTGATAATTTCTTCCTATCACTTCGAATTCAGAAACACTACCTTCGGACCCTTACAATGAAGACGAATCTCGGCTCAGTGAATGTGGTGCTGTCAGAAGTTCTCTGTGGGAAATCAGGGTAAGGTGCAATTTTCATATAATGAAGGTCATCGACATTACCCCACTGTTTCATCGGTTGTTCAATTGTCTAAATGAGCAACGTGGTAGCGTAAGCTGTTGTTAATCTCTATCTGCGATCATATCCAGATGATCAGCGATTGAGCTCTTCAATTGCGCGCTGCTATGTTTTAGTGGAATATACATATTTCAGCTGTAGTAAATAATTCCCCTTCATCTTCGACTTCGTAGAAAAAATAATGGGTGCTATTTTTCAGAGTCTTCAAAAACATTGGCATTCGAATGTAGCAAAGAGAGGCGAATTTTGTTGATAAAAAACTACAGCAGGTATTCTTTTATTAACGGTAATGTTTCAAAGAATATGTATAAGGCAGGTTTTTGATGAAAGACTTTTAGATGGAATCATTTGTGCGATTTCGATGTCAAGACGAGTTGTTCTCCAATATGATGGCGCGACCTTTTGGTAGTGGAGGAGATAGCGAAGAAGAGAAATACAGTCGAGCACAGGTAACCTATTCGTTCTGGTTAATATCTACGAAGCGTGCGGTGTGCCTCAGCCTTGCTACAGCAAAGATTATTTTCCTATTGTGAGGATCGTAAGGAAAAGTCGGAAATCAGTGTATTGCACAAATGTTATTCACTATTCAATTTCCTGGAATCCTTTCTAGTGAGGTAATCAGAATCACTTAAAGCAGGAACTCCAAACGTGGTCGTGTCGAAGAATCTATTCTGTGGGTGGGATAGATTAGCCCACGATTATCACAGATGTGCAGTTTCCGCGGCTTGGGTGTGCGCGACAATGGCGCTAGGGCTTGACAAAATGACCTGATGACAACTAATGTGGTCTTACAAACGTGTTACTTGTGCACATCCCATGAGACACAACGTGGATACGACGTGGCGGCTAATTTAAGGTGGGGGATAATGAAGCTCTGAAGCAAGCACGTTCGTTCTTGTCCAACCCCGCCCTTCCCTTATTTCAAGGAAGAAGGGAGGGAATACTTGTGAATGGCTTCATCGACTGTTTGCTTCGGTTCTTTTTTTTCATTCTAGTCAGTTCGGCATCCACAATTTCATTATCGACCGCTGTTATCCCACCAATTTGGTGTGGGGTTATTGCTTCAAATTTTGCGTATGACATTTTTATAACTAGTCCTTGCATAAATCCTTCTCTCAAGCTAAATGCTTTCCGGCGAAGGGTTTGAAGACGACTTCAAGAATGGCACTGGGAGGTCGATGATTTTTGCGTTTTGTGCGTGCTTAATAAGAGAAATTGAATTCCTGGAATGCGTTCCCGTAACGGTGCTTATATAATGCAGTGCGCGACAAAAGTATGTGGGCACCCTGAAATCGGATTTTAATGGTCAACTGGTGATTTTTTTTCT